CCCTCCCTCTCTCTCTCCCTCCCTCTCTCTCTCCCCTGGCTGGGGAATTCTGGGAGTTGAAGTCCACAAGTCTTAAAAGTTCCGCGGTTAGACCCCTCCACTTTCTTCTTAGTGCGTACGTCAAAGCATCTTGGTGCAAAATTAGGATATGGACCTAGCCGTGCTTGGTCTAACCATGGTTAACTTCATTGTGTGCCCGGAATCAATGAACAATGATTGTGTCTCCTCTCGGTTTCCATGCAGGACAAGCCTCTCTTCCCGGCGCAATGGGAGGCAGGCCCCGAGACTGAGAGAGAATGTGAGCAGGAGCCACGTTGTTCACCGGCTGAGCTGAGGAACCGAGGTAAGGCGTGTCCCAGGGGATGCCCTCTGCATTAATCTCATTCCTTGGTTAAATAATTAATATTCTGCCTTTTTTATTTCTTTAACAAATAACTCAAGGTGACAAATACATCCAACACTCGGTTTTCCTATTTCCCCCACAACAACCCTTTGAGGTAGGTTGGTCTGCAAGAGAGGGGGGGGGGGGTTGGCCCAAAGTCACCCAGCCGGCTTTCACGCCTAAGGAGGAACTAGAACTCACCATCTCCTGGTGATTGGCCCAAAGTCACCCAGCCGGCTTTCACGCCTAAGGAGGAACTAGAACTTACCGTCTCCTGGTGATTGAGCCAAAGTCACCCAGCCAGTTTTCATGCCTAAGATTGGACTAGAACTCACCGTCTCCTCGTGATTGGCCCAAAGCCACCCAGCCAGTTTTCATGCCTAACACTGGACTAGAACTCACCGTCTCCTGGTGATTGACCCAAAGACCCCCAACTGGCTTTCATGGCTAAAGCAGAACTAGAACTCCCCATCTCCTGGTGATTGGCCCAAAAGGCACCTAGCTGCCTTTCATGTTTAAAGTGGGACTAGAACTCACCCACCCACACACTTTTTAGCCTGGAGCCTTAACCCTTCGACCAAACTGCCTCTAGTTAGAATGAATTAAGAACTTAGTTAGGCAGGCTACAAAATCAACAGTTCGATGTGGCTTTCTTGTTTATTTATTTGTGTGGGTTTATTATTAGTTTTGGGTCATCCCATCTCTCCAGGAGTTCAAACAAACAGCATATACAGCATAATACAGATAGTCCTCAACTTACAACCGTTCGTTAAGTGACCATCCAGAGTTACAAAGGCAACAAGCAAAGTGACCTATGACCGTTTTCCACACTTAACAGCCGTTGTTGAAGCCTCTGCCTCGTGGTCGCGTGATCAAAATCCAGCCGTTTGACCACTGACTCGCATTTATGACGGCTGCACTGCCCCCCCCGGGGTCGGGGTGATCCCCTTTTGCGACCTTCTGGCGAGCAAAGTCAATGGGGGAAAGCCGGATTCACTTAATGACCGTCTTGCTGAGTTAATAAGTGCAGTGATTCACTTAACAACTGTGGCAAGAAAGGTTGTAAAGCAGGGCGAAGCCCATTTAATCCTTGCTCAATTTGATCTCAATTGGAATTCAAGTTTTTCCTAAATTCAACTTCCAAGACACGCAACAAATTCTGATTTAACCAAAGAAGATTGGCATATGGTGCGGTTTCTGTTTCTTAATTTTCTTTAGAAAAATTCAGTGGATCGGATCGAAATTATACAATTATACAAAATTATGCTCGCTTTTCTATTTCCAACACTCTCTTCCAAGTCAAGTAAGAAAATGCCTAATTTTTCCTGTTTGTTTCTGCCCAGCTTCTAAGCTACACTGCTCCTGATAATGGAGGCTCATTTCTACCCACAGAGCTATTAACACTCCATTGTGCCTGAAATCTGTCCAACTGTCGGTTTTCCAAAAAAATAAAATAAAATAAAATAAACCCTCCCGTTTATTCAAAAAAAAAATCCAGTGTCCTTACAAAATATTCTAATTCTAAAAAAAAAAAAAAACCCCCCCGTTTTTTAAAAAAAAAAATCCAGGGGCCTTAAAAAAAATTTTAATTCTAAAAAAAAAAAAAAACCCCCCCGTTTTTTAAAAAAAAAAATCCAGGGGCCTTAAAAAAAATTTTAATT